GGTGTGGTTGGTCCCAGGGAGGGTCTAGGGCCAGCCCGGGGCCCCCACCCAGCCAGGAACCAAGGGGCTGGGATTTTATTCTTTACTGACGTTCTCTCTCTGTCCCATCCTGCTCTGATCGGCGCATGTCCCTCCTCTCTCCCCCTCCCCCTCTCTCTGCTGCACTCTGGCATCTCACAGCTATCACTTGATCAGGTAATTCTGGTGTGGTCTTCCTCCTCCTCCTCCTGTTCCTCTTTCTCCCTCTTGCCATCCCCTTCTCCAGTTCTGTCTAAAAACCCGCCGTGCACCAAACCCTGTGCCTGGGTCACCTCGCAGACACCGCCCTTGCCTGAAGCCTCCCTTACCCCTGCAATCCTCTTTTCTGCTCCTGCCGTCCCACTGCCGTGTGTGTCCCTCTGCTCCCTGTTCCTACGGCCGTTTCTGCAGGTGGGGACCAGTGTTTCCTTGACAGCTTCCTGACCTGGCCTCTCTGTGCACCAAAGTGTCTCCCTCTGGAGGAGGGGACCCTACCTGGGCACCGGCATCCCCCTGCCTCTGGCCCACTCACCGGGGTCTTCACCACTTGTCCAGGGCAGACCCTACCAAGTTTCTGCCTCTCTCTTCCCATCTTCTCCCTCCCTGGCTCTGCCTCTCCCACTGTTCACTTTTCCTGTTTACCTTTCTCTGCCTCTCCCATCTCTTTCTCTCTCTTCTTTACATTCTATCTGTGACACCCATCCCTGCTTTGCTCCCCCCACACACAGCCTTTTCCTTGTTCCCCCGAGAGGACCCCACAGTGGCTGAGCTTCCTGTTCTGGATGTGCCTGGCCAAGAGACCCTGGCCTGACACTGTCCTGGGTTTTGACGTGAATTTCCAGGATGAGACCTAGAGCTCAGGGACCCAAGTCTCCCTTCGTCTAGTGCCTTAGCCCCTTCTGGGTCAGGCAGCTTCACCAACCAGCTTCTAGGAGGAGACGCTGTCCCTGGCTATGGGACACTCCCTGAGTCATTCCTCTGTCGGTCCAGTTGACCAGCATCCACACACACCGGCTGCTGCTGCTGGTGCTGTGTCTGCAGCAGGAGTTGGGCCTTCTCACGCGGAGCCGAGCGTGTCGGGGAGGCTGCCCCATGGTGATTCAGCTGCTGGCACAGACATGCTGGGTTTGCTCAGACACAGCCAGGGCAGTGTCATTGTCTCCTGGGGATCTGGAGAGGCCTGATGGAGGAAGGGACCCTGGGGGACAAGGCCAGGGGAGGATACCATTTCCCTGCGGACCTTATTCTTCCATTCATTCGCTCAACAAATACAGGTCAGGCGGCCAGGACACGGCAGGCGCTGATGGTGCTGGGGCACAGCGATGAACAGAGAGAGATTTGCTCACTGCCCTCAACGATTCATAGGGCAGCCAGCCTCGCCAGGGTGTCTGTGCCACCCCCCGCCTCCTGCTTTCCCCTTGTCTGCCTGCTCTGTTCATCCATCCATCCACCTGTCCATCTGTCTGTCCGCTTCTGCTTCGCTGACCCCATCTAGTAACTCACAATTGGTTTCTTGTGGAGTCTTGACTCCCTCCATCCCCCAAGCAGGGTTCAGTCCCTGAGACAGTTGGGTTCTTGTTCCCAAGCTGATCACCCACTCCTCTTGGTGGGGACAGGGGTGAGAGTTCAGTGATCCTTCTGCCTAGATCCCAGGAAAGGTCTAAGTTCAGAGGTCAGGAAACTGGGGCTAGTTCAGAGGAATGACAATAGTGAAGACAGTGGCCTGGACTGGGCTCAGAAACATGAGTCCTTTCCACTTAGTGCCTGGTCCCTGTATGCCCTGTGCATGCTCCACCTCCCAGCCCACTCTTGAGTAATTTTACCCCTACCTTGCACCTGTCTCAGCCATCAGGGGGATTCATGACCTCCCTCCCCAATAGGACTGTCAGGACAGAGCAGCAGCTGGCCCCACTCCAAGTCACTCTAACCCCCTTGCCTTGGGAACCTGTGCAGACCAGCTCTGGGCAAAGCCCCCTACCACCTGGCCCCACCCCCCTGCTTTCCTTCCCTCCCTTTCAGGGGGTCTCCCCAGTAGCTTCGCTTAGCCTGGTCATGGTGGTAGAGTTAGTTGTAAGAGACATCAGCTGGACTCCCTGAGATTGGTGTGTGCCCCAGCTTAGGTCAACAGTCATGCCTACTAAGCTCCTCCTGCTCCCAAATCTGTCCCATTCAAAGAGAGCCAGGTGCATTACTGGGGACACCTGAGACAGAACTAACCAACTCTAGTCCTGGGCCAGGGCTGCTGACTGACGGCTCTGGAGGTAAAAGGGAGGCCGGGGAGCCCTGGCCGAGAGTCAGTAGGCTCTGATTTGAGCCCCAACTCTGCTCTCTCTCTGGGCTTATTTCCCCCTTGTACAGTGGGACAAGAGTCCTGCTGGTCTCTCAGGCCACATCCAGAGAGGCTCTGGAAGTAGGCAGGGTCCCTGCTCCAAGGCAGGAGTGAAGAGGGACCTGACGCCCACGGGGCCATCTCTGCAGGTGGCGCCTGGGTGGCATACGAAGCTACAACCCTGAGCAGATCATGCTGAGCGCTGCAGTGCGCCGAACCAGCCGGGACGTCAGCATCATGAAGGAGAAGCTCATTTTCTCAGGTACACAGCCCTGCAGACAGGTGGCGGCAGGCCCTGGGCCCAGCTTTCTGCACCCCCACATGCAAACAGATGTGTATGCGCACACATTCACGTGCGGCACATACGGGTAGGGACAAGGGCACAGATACGCATAAACCCACCGGGATGATACTCACACACACACAAAGGCATAAGTACATGTGTGAAAACACACACCCCCACACACAGTCATCCACTCCGTCATCCACCATGGCTCGGTGTCAGTGCCATGGTTGGTGGGCAGGGGTGGGGTAGGGAGAGGAGTCTGTTTTGAAGGCCCGTCCCCCTTTGCCTGATTCATACTTGGATCCTACAATATTGGCCTCACCCTCGCTCTTTGCCAGTCCCTGTCAACATTCCCAGTCTGATGGAAGCAGCAGCTACGTAAACAGAGGCATGGAAAGTCGAGTTCCTGCGATGGGAGTGCTGTGGGGGAGGGCGTGGTCAGAGCTGCCTGGGCAGTGAGGAAGGCTTTGGGTGCCTGATACACTGAGATGGGGAGGATGCAGAGGAGGTGCCTGGCTTCAAGTTGAGGGCCGAGCGAGCTGAGGGAAGGAAGGGCATTCCAGGTGGGCATGGCATGTGCGCAGAGGTGGCCAGGGAGCACTGCTTGCCTGGGCACCAAGAATGAAGCGTCCCTCTATTGGGCCGAACTCCACTCAGCAGAGCTTTCTTGAGCCTCAGATCCGTGCCCAGCACTCTACCAGGCCCTAGGGACATAGATGCCCAGAACCCACCCTGGTCCTTGAGGTATTTTGGGGGCCCAGGCAGCAACCATACAGAATGTGGCCAGGGCAGAGGGAAGCAGGGGCTGGGGTTGCCATGAGGAGGCCCCAACCCGGCCCAGGGCTCTGATGAGGCTCCCAGGAGGCTGAGTGACAGATGAGAAGACTTGAGCCAGACTGTAGGAAAAGGAGGTGGTGTTGGGGCAGCCACTCCTAAGAGAGGGACCAACACACGCAAAGGCCCTGAGGAGAGTGGACACATGGGTGCCAAGCTCAGGGACACAGGTGGTTTTCTGTGACTGCAAAGTGAAGTCCCAGGGGACAGCAGATGAAGGTGAAGCTAGAGTGCTCAGCAGATACCAAAGGGGCCTTGAGTGCCAGGCTCAATGTCAACCTGAGACCAGTGGTTTCATCAGCCTCCAAGTGCCCAGCTGGGTGGTACAGCCTTCCCGCCCCATCTGTCACCCATCCTTATGACTGCCTCCTCCCCGACTCACATTCTGTCTCCCTCTGGCCCAGCAGAAATCAGCGATGGTGTAGAGGTCTCCGATGTGCTCTCCGTATGTTCAGACAACAGTTATGACACATATGCCAACAGGACCGCCACCCCTGTGGGCCCCCGAGGGGGTGGCAGTCGCACCAAGACCCTCACAGAGCGGAGTGGGCGTTAGCTGAAGACATGTCTGTCCCACCTGTACCTGACACAGAAGCCAGGGGAGCCTAGGAGAGCTGATGGAAGCGTGTCGGAACTCGGAGTGCTCTGGAAGCTGGCTCCACAGCCTCCTTGTGGGCTCCAGCCCCTTGTCAGCCGCAGCCTCTCTTGAGGGGGACTCCCGTGTCCCCCTGAGGCCCAGCTGGACCAGGACTCCAGCCTCTCAGATGCCCCTGCAGGCCTGGGGCTCCTTCTGGGTGGTGTGGGGCCTAGGGCTTGGGCCCCTCTTCTGAGGCCCTCTCCTATATCCTGACTTGGAAGCTTTGATGGGTCATGGGCCATGCCATGCCCCCTGTGGCAATGGAGGGTGCAGATGCTCACCTGTGCCGTCTGTCCTCCTATCTGTGCCCCGAGGCACTTGAATTCTCTGTTTTTATCCTGCCCCAAGGGCCTGGGCCGGGCCTCTACCCAAAGCAACTCTGCTCTTCCTGTCAGTCTCAAAGCACAAGGAGGTTCGGCCCAGGAGGAAGCCAGCTGCAGTGTGGAGACACGTCCTCCTCCCCAGTCCACCTCATGCCACCACCAACCCCCTGTCCCAGGAGCAGACCTGAGCCACATTCCCTAGGAGCAGCTGGAGATGGCCAGAAGAGTGAGCTCAGGGCTACTGGATCCTATGCCGAAGTGTCCAGCAGACCTCAGGGCAGAAGAGTCCCCTAACCCAGGAGTCCACAGACTGATTTAACCTCAGGTTCCCACATCAGTGGCCACAGGGCAGGGCCCACCTGGTAAAAGTGTTCTGGACATGGTCAGGGTGGGTGTGTGGCTAAGTAGGCCTGCACAGAGGGAACCCAAGGGGCTCGGCCAATGTGATTAAAGCTGCCATCTTGATGTGTGTTGTCTCTGAATTGCCAGCAGGAGGGTGGGGACAAGTGCACTGGGTTTAGGTTTCAGTTCTGACCCTATGATTTGAGGAGGAACCATTCTCAGGAATGAATGGGAAAGCGGCAGGATGGTGCCTCCCCTTCTCTGGGTCCACCACGGTGCCAGTGGCTGGGAGCCGGTATCCTCACAGGGTGGATGGGGAGACAGTCTTGGAGAGGTAAAAGTGACCTCCAAAGGCCACACAGCTTAGAACAGGCCAAGCCAGAATCCCACCCAGAGTCTGACCCCAGCGCATATGTTATGTCTCCCGTGAGCTAGGAATGACACGCAGAGGGGGAGGGCTCCTGGGTCCATTGTGGGGCTGGGAGTGGGACTGGCAGGTGCCCTCACAGCCACACGAAGGCATTCTGAGCCTCCCGGCTGTGTTGGGACAGGCCTTCAGCACAGGGAGGCCTTTTCTCCATGTGAGGAATTTGGCTTTGACTTCTCTGAGCTTTGGACCTGCCTGAGGAGGGCCCATGCCCATGCCCAGGACTGGGGGCACCTGGGCTGAAAGCCAAAGTACAGCCCTGGGACCACAGGTGTCCTTTCCTTCCAGTCCTTGGGACCTCTGCTGTCTGTGAGCAGGAGTCAGTGGTGGCGTTAGAGCAGGCCTGTAACTCCCCTCTTTGTTCTGAGAGTCTGCCTGGTCATGGGTGTGCCCTGAGGGAAAAGGGGGAAGCTGAGCCCCAGCTCCAGCCTGCATCAAATTAACTCCATGCTTCCTGGGAGCCAAGGGACGTGTGTCTTCCAAACAGGAATCTTCTGGATAGAATTCTTGGGGTCTAGGAGATTCTGGCATGCAAATGTTGGAAGCTCCACTGGGCCCCCACAGTAGCCTCGAGGAGCGGCCCTCCTGCCCCTGCTACTGAATGTCTGGCAAGTGCTCCTCTTCTTGGGGCAGAGGTCAGCTCCCGCCTCTCCCTGGGCTCAAGGGAGTGAGACTCAGAGCCACTGTGCCCCCTGCCCCACACATGCTTAGTCACATTGGCATCTACATGGTCACAAAGCCACATGTCCACACGCAGCCCAGTGCTATAGAGTCACTGCATTCCATGTACTTCCACAATCACACATAGTCACCCTGGAACCTACATGCCCACAACTGCACGATGACACCCCTCCCACACCCCAACTCCAGCACCATATACCTTCAAACCCTTGTCCTCATTCAGGGACAAGGCCAGCACCAGGTCACCCCCAACCCCAGGCACGAATCCAAATCCAAACCCTGGAGTTGCACGCAGTCAATCCACTCTTACGCCGCTTCTTTCTTTCCCTCCCTCCCAGGGCTAGTCCAAGAGTAGAACAAAAGCCCAGGATCCCCTCCCCACTCGTTTCTCCCTTCCTCTCCCTCCCCCTCCCTCCTGGCGTTCAGCCCCTTTGTCCTCCCGCAGCTGAGCCTGAGCAAACAGCGAACGGGGGTCTGGGCAGAGCAGCACGAACATTGGAGCTTGGGCTGCCAGGGGTGCGAGCAGCAGGCACAGACGGGAGTGATACCTGTGAGAGCAGCAGCTGCGGAGCACTTGGGAGAGGGTGTGGCCAGGTAAGCACCAGGTGCATGGGGCAAGGCTTAGGCTGCAGGGCTGCCCCAGCTGTGTGGTGTCCACAAGTCTGAGATGGGGAGGATGCGGAGGAGGTGCTTGGGTGATGGCTTCAAGTGGATGTGGGTGTAAAAAAGAGTGATGGTGGCATGTTCGAGTCAGCTTCTACAGGCTGGGCCCTTCAGTCTGCATCATGACCCATGGCTTGAAGTGCCTAGACTCAGCCGAGAAGGGAGGATACTCATTGAGCCCTACCTGGGAATTTTTACCTTCCGTGTTCCAACTGGGTGTCCTTCGGCCCCCAGACTGGGGATCCCAGAGTGAATGCTGGATCTGATGTCACTGTGTGTCCAGAGCGCCCAGTGCAGTAGACAGTAAAATGAAAAAGTACTGACACACTTCCTAGGAGGGAACTCTTTCTCCCCCAGGGAGCTGCTTGTGCTGTGGGACACCTTTGCAAGAAGTCCATCCTTATGCTAATGAGACCGGCCCTCTTGGGTTTCAACTCAGAATGTAGTTGCTTTCTGGGCTAGTGGAGGACAGACTGGTTGCAGCGTGCTGTGATGACCGGTCTCACTTCTTTCCACCTCCTGGCTGCTCCTTGGGACACACCCCCACCCTGGCAAGTGTGGCATGCAAACCCTGGAGCCAGGTGGATTCAGGATCCAGGCTCTCCATTTGGGCAAAAGTAGTTAACTTTCTTGCCCACCAGGGAGTTCATTTCTCACGATGCTGACCAGGGGATCCATGGCCCGGAATGACCAGGGCATGAAAGCCAGACTGACGCTGGGCAGGATCTGACTTCCAGAAGCAGCAGAGCAGCTGGGAGCAGGAGGATGGAAGGAGAGACAGGGCGCAGAGGGTGGACCTGAGCCCCCTAGAGTAAGCTGATGGAAAGGAGGGAACTCCCTGTCCCTGGAGGTGTGCAAGCAGAGGCTGTGTGTTCATAATGGCCAAATCATAACCAGCATGGCCCAGCCCCTCAGTCTGCAGAGCGCCTTCACAAACACCCCTCTGCTGAGCCTCGCCGCAAACCTCTGAAGGGCAGGTGTCCTGTGTGTGCTTGTTTCCCTTATGACAAACTAAAGGGGCAGGGGTGGGCTAAAGAAACTTCTCAGGTTGTGAGGATGAAATTAAATTATGTCTATAAAAGTAACTGGCGCACACAGTGTCCTCCCTTCCTCTCGAGTAAAAACAATACAGGGAAACACCCATGTAGCTCGTACTGTGTACCAGCACTTTTCATAAAGCCCATGTAATAGTCATGAAGCCACAGCCCTGTGAGGTAGGGATCCCATTTCAGATGAGATAACTGAGGCCAGGACCGGCAGGTGAGAGGAGTGACTTGCCCCCGGCCATACCGTGAGCCAGTGGCAGGGACTGGGTTAGTTTGTCCCTAGAGTTCTTTCCACTTCCAGACGGTGCTACCTGGAGAACACCAAGAGAACTCACTAGAGAGAGGGCCAGCTTCCCTCAGCCTGGGCTCTAACCTTTCACCCTCTGAGAATTCGCCCATCCTTCTCAGCTGGAAGGTTCCCCTCAAGGACGCCCTCCCTGACTCCCCTCCACCTGGGTCCAGCGCCCCTTCTATGAACTCCCCTAACACCCGGTGCCTCCCCATGGCACCCCCGCCAGACTGGGAGCTCCGGGCACACTGAAACTATGGTTGTCTTGCTCACTGCCAGGCACAGAAAAGGCTCCCAATAAATACTTGTCGAATCTGTTTGCGCGAATGCTGTGTGTATGATGCTGTCTATCGGGGGAGTGCTCAGGGTGTGGTCAGTGCTCAGCACCTACCGGAGATCGGCAGGAGACAGGCAGGATTGAGCAGAGGACAGTCGAGTTATTGTACCCTCTCTCTCCTGCACACGCACACACTGGGTCTCTGTGGGGCGGCCTTAGTCCCTTGACCCAGGGCTTCAACTCCTGTCACGGGACCCTCCTTACACAGATACATTTCCAGGTTCCAGTAACTCCCCTGCTCCCCCGCTTTAGACCCCGGGGCGGCCAAGGTGCCTTGCTGTTAGTAGCCCGGGGAACAGCGCTCCTCCTGCTGGAGTCCCTAACGCCGACTCCGCTGTTGAAAATAGTTCCTTTATTAGACCCTCCTCCGATTATCCTATTTGAGAGTGTGCCATCTGTCTTCTGCAGATATCGATAGGAAAACGCTCAGCGAGTTTTAAGAACCGAAAGGGGCACTGAGTGTCTGAGTGGGTAGGCAGGGCAGAATGTCGTGCTGGTGAGGCGGGGCTGAGGCACTGTAGCCATAAGGAACCTGAACGGAGGGGACAGTCGCTTAACAAGTGGTCAAGGGAGGAAATAAACGGATGAGGGCGGTCGCCTCTCCCAGGCGCAGCCAGGTGACTTCCCCGACCCTGTTTGTGTTCTCTCCCCGGCAGGATGCGGCAAGGCCCTGGGCCGGAGGAGTCGGAGCCGGGCTGCGAGGTGCCGTGCGCGGGTCGGTGCCACGCGCAGCGCGTGCTGCAGACCCTGAACACGTACCGGCGGAGCGGTACCCTCACCGACGTGGTGCTGCGCGCCGGCGGCCGCGACTTTCCATGCCACCGCGCGGCGCTCAGCGCGGCCAGCGCCTACTTCCACAGCTTGTTCGCAGCCGGGCGGCCCGAGCGCGGCCCGGCAGTGGTGCCGGTGGCTGCCGAGGCGCCAGGCACAAGCCCGGCCGGCGCGGCGGCGGCGCTGGCCGTGGTGCTCGACTACGTGTACGGAGCGGGCGTGCGGCTGCGCGAGGAGGACGAGGCGGCGGCAGTGCTAGCGCTGGCGGAGCGGCTGGGCGTGGCGGGCCTGCGTGAGGCCTGCGTGCGCTTCCTCGAGGGCAGCCTGCGCGCCGCCAACAGCCTAGCGCTGCGCCGCGTGGCCGTCGCCTTCTCGCTGGCTCCGCTGGCCGAGCGCTGCGGCCGCGTCCTGCGCCAGGCCTTCGCCGAGGTGGCGCGCCACGCCGACTTCCTGGAGCTGGCGCCCGACGAGGTGGCGGCGCTGCTGGCGGACCCTGCGCTGGGCGTGGCGCGCGAGGAGGCCGTGTTTGAGGCCGCCATGCGCTGGGTGCGCCACGACGCGCCGGCCCGCCGCGGGCAGCTGCGACGCCTGCTGGAGCACGTGCGCCTGCCGCTACTGGCGCCCGCCTACTTCCTGGAGAAGGTGGAGGCGGACGAGCTGCTGCAGGCCTGCGGCGAGTGCCGCCCGCTGCTGCTGGAGGCCCGCGCCTGCTTCATCCTGGGCCGCGAGGCCGGTGCGCTGCGGACCCGGCCGCGGAGGTACGGCCGCCGTCCCCTAGCCTCCCGCCCTCCGTTCTTCCCACCTTCTTCCACCGCCCATTCATTCCTTCATCATCCTTTAGTACTGCCTCTTGATGATATGCAGACATTCGTTAAACATTTTAGAGGCTCGGTGCCCATAATTCTGCCCTTGAAGAGTTAACAAGCCAGTGAGGGAGATGCAGAGACCCCACTCCTGCGCACACTGTTTCTTTCGCCCATGCAACCGTAATTCCGAGTACTTACTACTCTACGCAAGTTCTGTGCAGGGTGCCTGGGTGTGGAAGTGATTTGAAAACACTGTTTGCCCTCTGGGAGCTCGCAGTCTAATGAGGGATAGAAATAGGCAGGAGCATGGGGAAAGGGTGAAAGCGGACTGCCCCACCCCTGGAAAGCCAGACTGAGAGGCTCTGAGCAGAGTAGCCCTTAATCATGCCCCCAGAGACTACACTATCTCTAACACTAAGCACAGGGCCTGGGACAGAGATCCTCAAATATGTGCCAAAGGAATTAGAAAACCAGTGGCTAAAGGGTATGGTAATTCTGGTGGGGTCAGATGCTTGAGGGGTCAATGAGAGGAAAGAATGATTGGCTGAAAGGGCGAGTTATCCGGCTTAATGGAATTAGGGATAAGGGGATGTCATAGGAGGAGGGAGGCAGCAGAATCAGCAGTTGGAGGTGAGAAAAGAGTGTTGAAGATGAGTTAGCGACAGACAAACCTGGGCTTGAATTCCAGCTCGTCATGACGCTTAATGGCTGCATGACTTTGAGCACGCCATGGTATGTCAGCCTCAGTTTCCTCCGTGTGAAAGCGGTAATAATCCCTACTAATATAATTGCCATACGGATTAAACGAGGTTATTTTTCTAGGTGAGGGCAAGGGCTCTGTAAAGATTGGGTTTTTTTCCTGTAGTTTAGAGGTCAGCAGAATGCGGTAAGAATGAGCGATTCTCTTCCCAATACCCACAGGGAAAGTTGGAAGTGGCGGAGTCTAGCGGGAGTGGGGCCGGGGGGTCGGGTGGGCGGGGGTGATGGCAAAAGCGCATGAAAGGGTCGAGAGGGTAAGAGAGGGCCGAACTTGGGTGCGGCCCAACAGGCAGTGGGCTTATCCGCACGCCAGATTCATGGACCTAGCTGAAGTGATCGTAGTCATCGGCGGTTGCGACCGCAAAGGTCTCCTGAAGCTGCCCTTCGCCGATGCCTACCACCCAGAGAGCCAGCGGTGGACCCCACTGCCCAGCCTGCCCGGCTACACTCGCTCAGAATTCGCCGCCTGTGCTCTCCGCAATGACGTCTACGTCTCCGGTGAGGGCGGAGCCGCAACGGGAGCTCACACGGGATTGGCTAATAGCCTCCGCGTTCCGCCCCCTTTGCTTTTTCCTCCAATTGGGAGAGGGGGGTGGGATGTTTACTGATAACCTACAGTTATTGGCTGAAGTGAGCAGAGCTAACTATGGGTGTGACCCCCTTCTCCCCCCCCCCCCCCGTTATTCAGCAATGGTAACTTCAATTCATATGATTACTTTTTGTTCTCAGCAGGTTTCCTAGGGAATTCAATTCGTATTAGTATTAATAATCACTTCATCTAGCCTACTATGTGCCGAACATCATTATGCTAAGAAGCTTACATTCCTTATCATTAAATCCCCCTACAATGCTGTTTTACAGATAAGAAAGGATCAGAGAGGCTCAGAATTTCCCCCATTGTCTCAAAAATGGCAAAGCTAGGAGGAACACACATCTGTTTGATAGCAACAAACTGAGTCCTCCCTGAGGCTCAGGCCCTTGAAGACTCAGAGAAGCATAAAACACAGTCCTTGCTCCCCTGGAGTGTCCTGGAGACGAGAGAGAGACTTCACTTTTACCGCCAGGCAGAATGTGATCGGAATTCTCAGAGACCCCAGATGATCTGGAATGCCACTCAGGGAATCTAGCCAGGGTTCATAGAAGAGATGGTTTTTCAGTTGGACCTTGAAAGTTGGAGGGAACAGTATAGGCAAAGGCACAAGGGCAGGGACATGCAGAAAGGAACCCTGGGGACTCAGGGCTCTGAAGTGCAGGTTGAGTAACACAGGTGAGGCAGGAGTCAGATCACGGAGGCTTTTGAGTCTGGTGCTAGGTGGATTGACCTTAACGTTGTAAAGAACTATGGGTGCCTGCAAAGGGTAAGGAGCAGGAGAATAAGCCAGGGAGGCCTCACAGACCATCCAGGCCACAGATTACCACTGGACAATTTATCCAAGGCCATTGATGGTTCTGAGCAACATGTGGGGCCTCTGTTGGGTGCCACTAGGAATAAACAAAGATGGGGGCTACCAAACAGATGTGGCTCTGGTCACAGGCTCAGGCTGAAGGGTGCAGTTAGGGTTGTCCCCAAAGAGGCTCCCATTGAGAGGTGAATCCCCGACCAAGATCCCCAGGGTGGCCAGACATGGGAAGGGAGAGCCCACATCCTGCGTCCCCAGTGCCTGGCCCCATAGGGCATACCATGTCCTCCAACAGCACCAGTGCTGGGCCTGGAGCCAGAAGCTCTGGTTCTGGCTCTGACAAAAGGCCATGTAGTCTTCAGCAGGTCATTGTTGGTCTCTAAGCCTCATCTGAGTTTCTTATATGTAAACTGGGTGTAATATTCCCAACACCTCATGGAGGGATGAGATCAGAAATGAAATTGTGTGGGTGAAGGTGGGAGGGAGGGTTATTGGGTCACCCTCTACCCCTCCTGGCTCCTAGTGCAGCTGACTCTGCTTTTCCTGGGTCCCTAGTACATTCCAGATGCTTGCCTTGGGTACCCTTTGTACTCTTACCTTTCGTACAGCGGCCCCCTCTTTGCTTCCCTGAGCACAGAGCCTGGCACACCACCAGCACCACCATAAGGTGCCCAGTGAAAACCAGCCACTTCTTCCTGAATCTGTCAGGCTTCTCCCCTCAAGGGTCATAACTCAAGACATTCTCACCACTTATTCAAAGCACACTGTCTGGGTCACAGGCCCAGAGTCTTACACCAGCTCAAGAAGTCCTCTTGCTGCCTTCCCTTAACCTTTCCTTTGGATCTGGGGGCCCTAGTTTCTAGCTCTTTGCGGGTGCTTGGGATAGCAAGAGAGCCTGTGGGCAACAGCTACTTCTCTCTCCCTAGGAGGCCACATCAACAGTCATGATGTGTGGATGTTTAGCTCCCATCTACACACCTGGATCAAGGTAGCCTCTCTGCACAAGGGCAGGTGGAGGCACAAGATGGCAGTTGTGCAGGGGCAGGTAGGCACGAGCTGCAGCGGCTGCCCTGGGACCCAAGGTACAGATCTGTGGATGTCCTGGAGGGAGGTTATCTAAAACCCTCTTTGTAAGAAGGGGTCTGAGGCCCCCCAAAAAAGAGACTTGTCCAAGGTCACATAATAATGGCTGATGTTAATAATAATAGCAATTACTGTAATAGTAACAGCCTGATGGTCAAGGGTGTGGGCTCTGGGGCCATACAATCTAGGTTTGAATCTTGATTGTGCCACTCAAGACTAAAAGAATCTGTCGGCCAGGCACAGTGGCTCACACCTGTAATCCCAGCACTTTGGGAGGCTGAGGTGGGCGGATCATGGGTCAGGAGATCGAGGCCATCCTGGCTAACACGGTGAAACCCCGTCTGTACTAAAACTACAAAAAATTAGCCTGGCGTGGTGGCAGGTGCCCGTAGTCCCAGCTACTCAGGAGGCTGAGGCAGGAGAATGGCATGAACCCAGAAGGCAGAGCTTGCAGTGAGCCGAGATCATGCTACTGCACTCCAGCCTGGGAGACAAGACTCCGTCTCAAAAAAAAAAGAATCTCTCAACTATCTTCGTAAGCTACATCCTGAATTCAGAAACAAAAATCCTTCTTAGAATCAATTAAGTGGGGTGGTAAAGTCTCAAAACTAACTATATAGCTATTATTATTATTTTTTTTTTTTTAATTTTTTCTGAGACAGAGTCTCGCTCTGTGGCCCAGGCTGGAATGCAGTGGTGCAATCTTGGCTCACTGCAAGCTCCGCCTCCCAGGTTGACGCCACTCTTCTGCCTCAGCCTCCAGAGTAGCTAGGACTACAGGCACCCGCCACCAGGCCGGCTAATTTTTCTTGTATTTTTGGTAGAGATGGGGTTTCACCGTGTTAACCAGGATGGTCTCTATCTCCTGACCTCGTGATCTGCCCGCCTCGGCCTGCCAACGTGCTGGGATTACAGGCATGAGCCACCATGCCCGGCCTAGCTATTATTATTAAGCATCAGCTTGGTGCCAGGTGTTTTACAGCTGTAACCCACATTCAGTACCCATCCTAAAGACAGGTCGCATTATCCCCCCTAAAGGAGAGGAAACCAGCTCAGGGAGGTACAGCAAGTGGGTGGAGGCCGCCCAGGTGGTGGCAGCACTGGGCTCTGGGGTCAGTTTGGTCTTGAAGCCGGGTTGGGGACAGGGAAAATTTGCAGCTCAAAGACTGTAAAACTGAAGCGGTGAGGCCGAGGGGCCTAAGGCCCTGGCACCCGGCGCCCCGGCCCATGTCCTCACTTGCAGCTGTTCGCGGTGGGTGGTTTCGACGGCCTGAGGCGCCTGCACAGCGTGGAGCGCTATGACCCCTTCTCCAACACCTGGGCGGCCGCTGCGCCCCTCCCGGAGGCCGTGAGCTCAGCGGCGGTGGCATCCTGCGCGGGCCAGCTCTTCGTGATCGGGGGCGCCAGGCAGGGCGGCGTCAACACGGACAAGGTGGGCGTGGACCTCGGGCGCAAGAGGGCGTTGAAGGCTGCGGCGACCACTGTGTGCCAGGCGCAGAGCTGGGCGTTTCCGTGCCCTTGTCTATTTCTTCACTTAATCCCATCAACAGCCCAGACCAGTCACCTCCATGTTTCAGGGAAGGAAATGAGCATAAAAATGACCCCAAGGTCACAGTGGGTCAGCAGCACACTGGGACTCAAATGTATGGGCTGGCACCACATAAGTTTCATACATTTTAAAAATTGAGGGCAAGATAGTTAAAATGCTTTTGTTACATTCCAAAAATAATACATTACTGAAAATTTAGAAAACAGAAAAATAGGAAAAAAACCCCATAATCCCACCATCCAGGCAGAGCTGCTATTTATATTTTGGTGCATCGCCTTACAGGCTTCCACTGAATTGATTTTTGTTTTTCTTATAGTTCTGTTTTCTCACTGTTAGAATTTTGCATTCTGCATTTTATTCTAATTTAGGTATAAGCACTTTCCACGTGATTAGCAACTTTACAGCCATCATTTCAATGCCTGTACTATTCCACTTGGTGGATGAACTGGAGTCTACTCATCTTTTATTGTTGGACATGTAGGCTTTTTGCAAATAAAAATATTTATCATAGCAGTTCCTTCCCTTCCCTGATGGCCTCATAAGCCTGTGGTCCTGGGACTTGACTCTTTCCCAAATTTGGGTGCCCACTCTTCCTTATTCCCTGACCACATTCTTTCAGCAAACCCTCCTGGAGCTGAGTGATGGGCACTCATGGTAGGAGGCCCCATTTAACACCATCCATGCAGCACTGATTTGTTATAGGCTGCTGTGGTGGAAGGGGGGGTCTCCAAGGAAACAGTTGAGGAAACAGAGAGTGAGGTAAGCAGGCAGCTAAGTACAGAAACTGTTAAGGGCATCAGAAACACCCATGGGCATGTGGACAGCTGTAGAAATAGGGCTGCAAGACACCTCAGCTGGAATTGTATGACCTGAGAGCACCAGGGAAAAAACAAGTTGACAGTGTATGCAGCCAGGAACACATCCCTATGGGGGGTCTGCTATGAGAACCCTCTATAACCCTAAAGTAGACGGTACCTCTTCTCACTCGGTATGATGTGCTCTATGATTAATCTTACATGAGGCGACTGTGTTCTTCATCAAAGGAGAGACTGTTCCTATGTGTGTGTTTTGGGGGGTAGGGAGGGGGAACACCAGGGAAGCCTTTAAGGATGGGGTGGCATTTGAGCAGGACCTTGAAAGATGGGGAGGCTTTTGACAAAGGAAGTCCAGAAGCAGAGGACAGAACATATAACTAGATGAAGAGCCCTTGAGGACAGGGACAGTGGATCTCCCCCTCCCTCCCAGATGCTTGCTCGGGCCAGGTGTCATCGTTTTGAATGAGTGCCCCCAGGGAGAGAGGTGGCAGCATGTGGGCAGTGGGGCATTTGGGATGGGGCAGTGAGTCTTCATCACCGCTGCTCCTCTTGCCCCTCAGGTGCAGTGCTTTGACCCCAAGGAGGACCGGTGGAGCCTGCGGTCACCAGCACCCTTCTCACAGCGGTGTCTCGAGGCCATCTCCTTTGAGGACACCATCTATGTCATGGGGGGTCTCATGAGCAAAATCTTCACCTATGATCCAGGCACAGATGTGTGGGGGGAGGCAGCTGTCCTCCCTAGTCCTGTGGTAAGTGGAGGCTTCAAGGCAGGAGAGCGGAACCCACTTCTAAGGCTCTGGATCTTGGAGCTTGTGAATCTTGTGTGACTCCATGCTAGGTGGTTTTATTATACATTGCTCTCTAGCTTTGTCCTCACAGTGATAGTGAACCATGCATTTCACAGATGAGAAGACTGGCCTTAGAGAGGTTCAGCACCTGGCCCAGGCCAACTAGGCCCTGTTAAGGCAGAGTCTAGAACCCTGCAGTCCCAAGTGCTATAGCTTTGAGTGGGGATTTGGTCCAAATGACCCTGTGGTCTCTCCTGCCCTGAAGGCCACTGCTAGTAACCAATCATGGGGTAAGAGGTGGGGAAGGGAGTTGCTAAGTTCTGCTCTAGTGATATCACAGCAGGGAGGCCCAAGTCTTGGAAGCTCTGGCCCCTGCAGTTCCTTGCCTCCCCTACCTTCGTCTCCATCCCCTGAAACTCCAGAGATTACACAGGTATGGTTGGACTGGTGGTCTCTGCCAGTTCTGACCTTTGGTGACCTTAAGTGGTGAGAATTCAGGTTTCCCTGAGTCTGCGATTCTAAGATGGCGGCAGTCGAGATTATTGTTATTGGTGTGCTTACCATATTCCAGGCTCTATATAAAATGCTTTACATACTTAACTTCCATTAACTGTTAAGGGAACCCTGTGAAGAAGGCACTCTGGTTCTTCTCCCTTTGCAGATAAGGAAACTGAGGTCCAGAGAGGTTAAGCAACTTGCCTAAGGCCATTCACTGAATAAGGATCAAGCTAGAGCTGGAACTCAGATCCATCCAGTTTCCTGCCTCTCTACAATCCAGATTGCCTGTTCACAGTCTGTGGGTCAAGGTCCTATTATCTGGCCTGGCCAGGCAGGGACAGAAGGAGCCCCAGGCTGAACCTCATAGTTAATTGTCTTTCTGTTTGTCCACTCAGGAAAGCTGTGGAGTCACTGTGTGTGACGGGAAGGTCCACATCCTTGGTGGGCGGGATGATCACGGAGAAAGCACCGATAAGGTCTTCACCTTTGACCCCAGCAATGGGCAGGTGGAGGCCCAGCCATCCCTGCAGCGCTGCACCAGCTCCCACGGCTGTGTCACCATCATCCAGAGCTTGGGCAGGTGACTCAGATTTGGACAGCCTGAGCCAGGAGGCGGAGAGGCACGCGGAGCTCAGGTGCACACTCTGCTCCCTCGTGGCACCTCCACACAAACAGCCATTCACTTAACAGTCTCTTTTCTTGTAGAAATAAAACCTTGTTGGGTCTGTGTTCCAGCTGCAGTCTGCCCTGACTGAGATGGAATGTCCAATATTTGCTCTCTGTGTTTACTCTTGGTGAAGCACTTTTATACCACTGCATTTATACCACTGTGTTTACTCTTGATGAAGCACTTTTATATCTGTTTGGGCTACTATCACAAAACACCTTAGACTGGGTGATTTATAGACAACAGAAATTTATTTCTCATACTTCTCAAGGCTGGGAAGTGCAAGATCAGGTGGCCAGCAGATCTGGTGTTTGGTGAGGGCTCTCTGCTTCCTAAATAATATTTTCTTGCTGAGTCTCCACATGTGAGAGGGAGGCCAGGCAGCTCCTTCCGACCTCTTCTATAAGGCTCTAATCCCATTCATGAGGGTTCCACCCTCATTCCCTAAGCAATTTAATGCCTTCCCAAAGGCCCCACCTCTTACTATGATCACTTTGGGTATTAGGTTTTGACACATGCATTACCTCATTTACTTTCAAAATAGTAGTGTAAGCATTTTAAAAAACTATATTTCATGCATAAAAAACACATTATATATATAAACAGTTAAAGAATAATAAAATGTCTGTTTCCCACCACTTAGAAAGAGATGGTTACAAACACCTCTGTAGGCCTGTGTCTGTTCCCAAACACATCCTTTCCCACGCTCCTCCGAGACGAAGTTACCATCCTTAAATTTGAGATTATCAGCACTCACAGCTAGGAGTGGGAGACAGGCAGGGCCCCCCCCCATTCATGGAAGAGGCTGAAACAAAACAAACAGTTATGGATCCCTGAACAACCACGGAGTGGAGGCTCACAGCAAACTGCAGGCCCAGGGTGGGGGCACCATAGCCATGGGCCTCTGAGAAGTCAGTCACCCTGGCTCTGCACCTGAACCTGTTAGGTGTCCAACGTCAATGGGGGCACAAGCCCCTGATGTCATAAGCCTGGGGCTCTAGGGGCAGCAACAAACTGCTGGGTAGGGAGGGGTGAGCTCAGAGAGGGAGAGAAAGGGAACAAAAGATGCAACAGACAGATTCTGTGAGGCTCTGTGCGTATTGCTGTGAGGCCTGGAGGAGCTGGCCAGGCCCCAGCTGCAGGCTCCCCCTCATTTGTACTCAGATTGCCTTTGGAAGAAGAGTGATCATCTGCTTCTTGCGTCTCCCTCCAGCACAGAGCCAGCCCCATGTCCCACCCCATCTTCCAAAGCCCCAGGGCCCTGTCTACAGGGTCTCTCCAGCTGGGACCAGCCCATCACAGCAGGCATAAAGGCCCGGGTCCCAGCTGAGCTCTGACCCACTGATTATCCCAGATTAGGGAGCCTGTGACCATCTGGACACAGCTGATAATGGCAGCAGAGGGAGGGGAGTGGGGACACTGAGTCTGCCTGTGCCCACCCCAAGGGGAATGCTCAGGACAAAGCAAAGAAGGCACCGTATCACTGGCCCACCCAGGGAAAAAGTAGGGGCAGATCCAGGGCACACTCCTCCCAAACATATGGGCATCATAGCTGACTGGACCCTTCCCACATGCCAGGCAGGGCGCCCCATTTCCCCCCAGCTGACTGTGCCTCCAGTGCACTTTCGTGCACATACCTTCTCCTGCTTTGTCTGCCCAGGCCCACCTTATAACCTCAACCCCAGAGTTGCCCTCCTCTATCACCAGGTACATGGCAGGTCTTTTATGTGACCTGTGTAGTCTCCCCTGACACACCCATAGGATGGCCCTTGAGGCAGGAAAGGTGTCAGTTTCACCTGTGTCCTCCAGTGCCTGGAACAAGGCTTCCCACTGACTACACCAAATCGTGTAATAGTGTAAGGCAGGCACTACTGCCACCCACCTGCCCCCTCACAAATAAGGAAACAGAGACTCAGCCTTGTGAGGTGAAGTGACTAAAGTCATTGGGCTGGAGAGTGGCGGCAGAGCCAGGATTCAGACCTGGGCCCAGCTATCTCTGAAGCCAGCTCTCTCTCCATGCTGCCTCCCCCAGCATGGAGACTAGTCATTTTATGACTATTCTTAATGTTCTTCCAAAGAACAAGATTTAAAAAATAAAATAAAACAACAATATAAACCCAGCACTTTGGGAGGCCGAGGGGGGTGCATCACCTGAGATTAGGAGTTCAAGACTAGCCTGGCAAAGCAAAACCTCATCTTTACTAAAAATACAGAAATTAGCTGGGCATGGTGGTGCATGCCTGTAGTCCCAGCTACTGGGCAGACTGAGGCAGGAGAATTGCTTGAACCTAGGAGGTGGAGGTTGCAGTGAGCCTAGGTTGTGTCACTGTACTCCAGCCTGGGCAAAGAGTGAGACTCCATCTCAAAAATAAAAAATAAAAATAAAAACAAAATAAAAGGAAACATTCATTACCATATGGATATATTAGACTTTCATTTTTTGTTTGTTTGTTTGAGAAAGAGTCTCACTCTGTTGCCCAGGCTGGAGTGCAGTGGCGCAATCTCAGCTCACCACAACCTCCACCTCCTGGGTTCAAGCGATTCTTCCGCCTCAGCCTCCCTAGTAGCTGGGATTACAGGTGCGCACCACCATGCCTAGCTAATTTTTGTATTTTTAGTAGAGACGGGGTTTCACCATGTTGGTCAGGCTAGTCTCGAACTCCTGACCTCAGGTGATCCACCCACCTTGACCTCCCACCCAAAGTGCTGGAATTACAGGCATAAGCCACCACGCCGAGTCAGAGTAACCACCAAACAGTGGTTACTTATCACACAATACTGTGTGATAAAAACCTGAACCAAACAGTGAATCAGGATGACTATTCTTCCTGGTATGTTGAGGGTAAACCAGTGAGCAAAAGATCCACCTCCTCTGGCGCCCACCCCCTCTGGCAGGAAAGTGGCCCTATTGCTGTGCTATGCTTCCCTGGAAGCTCCCTCTAAAAAGCAAAAAAGTCCTTAATTAAAGGCCAGCTCTACCTTCTCTCCAGGCAATTGAGGGCTCAAAGCGCCGAGCTCTCCTGCTCACCACATTAAGGGCTGTTGAGAATCGGCTGGCTGCAGTTGTAGTCAATGGCCTGCCAGTGAGGGCAGGATGCATACATCACAGTGGACTCCCTGCTCGGTGGACAGAGACCCAGTTGTACCTGGGCAGGCTGAGTGGTTAGCACAGCACTGGACTAGGCAGCAGAGGCATGGCTTCGTTCGAATTTCAAAGCTACTGGGCCTCCATCTACTTCTTTGTGAAAATGAGGGTTTGGGATCACATAAGTCATTCCCAATCCACAGACTCATGTTACTTGTTCTCAAATTGGAAGTTAGGATCTTGACATTCTAAATTTTTTTTTTTTTTAATTCGAGGCCAATTTATTCTCAAATTTTGCAGACACAAATATTATCCTTGAAGTACATTAAACAAATCTTTTAATTCACTTCATCCTGTATTTTATTTTTTATTTTAAAAAATTTTTTAACCTTTTTTTCCCCTACCACCACTGCTGCCACTCATCGTGTATTTTAAAATAACTTTTTTCCATATTGATTTTTCTCCACTGGGGATAAAAACCAAAATAAAAGATAACCCAAATACGGTTAAAAAATGTTTAGGATCTTGGGTTCCAGGCAGTTCAAAAACTCTTGTCAAAAGGTTATATTTACCACCAGATTGCCACAATGGCATAACAAAGTAAGAATTAGGACACTGAAATGGGTGGGGTGGTCCTGCCAGCTGGATCACATGGCCACTTACCCAGAGAGTCTGGGGCCAGAGGCAGCAGGTGGCCCAATGGCAGCCTGCCCATCCCTGGAATGAAAGCAAGAAAGCAGAGCCAAAGCTTCAGCTATGTGGCCTTAGGGGTGGGGCAGACTTGTGGAAAACCAGGCTGCAAACACCCTGGTTGCTGGTGGTCCTGGAGGGGTGGAGCCCATATCTCCACCTCATACCTGACCAGTTGCATGGCACAGTGGGGAGGTAGGCCCACTTCCTTCCTGGCCTCTAGATCTTGATCTGGGCCGAGGCTGGGCAGCAGGGTCATTTTGGCCAATGCTCATACAGTAAGCTGATCTCCATAGGTTAACAGTCACCTTCCTTCCCAAGACCCCAGCATCCCCTTACAGGTGTACTTTCTGGTGGCAATATCCTGCACCTGGGGCACACCATCAGCAGTTGAGTCCCCTGGGACAAGCAGCACCTCAGAAAGCAAGGGCCTGGGGCTGTGGCTCTGGGAAGGGGCCAGGAGACCAGCCAATGTTTCTCACCTCCCAGGCTCAAGTGATCCTCCCACCTCAGCCTCCCAGTAGCTGAGACTACAAGCATGTGCCACCAAGTCTGACTAGTCTTTAAATTTGTGTGTGTGTGTGTGTGATGGAGTCTCGCTCTGTCGCCAAGGCTGGAGTGCAGTGGCGCAATCTCAGCTCACCGTAACCTCTGCCTCCCGGGTTCACGCCATTCTCCTGCCTCAGTCCCCCAAGTAACTGGGACTACAGGCGCCCAGCTAATTTTTTTTGTATTTTTAGTAGAGACAGGGTTTCACCTTGTTAGCCAGGATGGTCTCAATCTCCTGACCTCGTGATCTGCCTGGCTCAGCCTCCCAAAGTACAGGGATTACAGGCGTGAGCAACCGTGCCTGGCCTAAATTTTTTTAGAGATGGAGTCTGGCTGTGTTGCCCAGGTTGATCTTGAACCCCTGAGCTCAAAGGATTCTCCCGTTTTGGCCTCCGAAAGTGCTGGGATAACAGATGTGAGCCACCATACCCTGCCAATATTTCTTAAAGCCTAAGAAAAATCACCAATTCCCCCTAAGATGTACTGCATGGGTTAAACTTGTAAAATGAAGTTAGTAATGAAATGTGTCCACTATAAGGGATGTAGGAGATTAAGTGTTTACAGAAAGCTCAGGGCATATAACAATTATCTTCTCACCATGGTCATGCTTACGCTATAAATGTAGCTTCGGTTAATAACAGAGAGTCATACCAATCTGGGTATTATAAGGACAAAAAAAAAAAGAGAGAGAGAATGGTTTGGTAGATAAAACATTATCAAACTCTAATGTCCCTGAGGAGAACAGTAAGAAAAACAATCTCTGGGGTTGAAACTATTAACTCTCTACGATACTTCAATGTTTTCCTGTCTCATGTTGGCAGGCCCTACTTTGAAATACAACAGCTGCATTTATACACAGCAACATCAGATATCAGAAATAATCACTAGATGGATGCCTGTAATCCCAGCACTTTGGGAGCCTGAGGTGGGCGGATCACCAGAGGTTGGGAGTTCGAAACCAGCCTGGCCAACATGGTGAAACCCCGTCTCTACTAAAAATACAAAAATTAGCCAGGTGTGCTAGTGCACACCTGTAATCCCAGCTACTCGGGAGGCTGAGGCATGAGAATCACTTGAACCCAGAAGGCGAAGGTTGCAGTGAGCCGAGATCATGCCACTGCACTCCAGCCTAGGTGACAGAATGAGACTTCACCTCAAACAAACAAAAAAAATTAGAAATAATCAAGATGGAAAATGGAACAAGGCACACAGTAAAAGGCCAAATTCACCATTGTAAAATGGGGATGATTATCTGCCCAGCTATGCCCACCTTTCAGTAGAAGCAGAAAGCATGGCAATCCAATATCATGAATTTAGCTATTAAAATCCAAGAGGATATGCTTAAGTAGTGGTAATAGTAACAGCTAGCACTAATTGGGCACTTGCTGTGATAGGTCAGGCATTGTGTTAAGCACTCTACATGCAGATGACCAAAGGGAGGCACAGGGAGGTAACTGATGTGCTGGGGCCCATACTGCTAAGTTGTATACCTGGTGCTGAATCCAAACTGTCCAGCCTGAAGAGCTGGGCTCTTTTTTATTTTTCTCTTAGCCATGTTTTCCTTTGTTGTCCAAGTTTTCCACAATGAGTGTTGATGTCTTTTTTTTTTTTTTTTTAAAAAATTTCCGTCTGTCACCCAGGCTGGGGTTCAGTGGCACGATCTCGACTCACTGCAACCTCTGCCTCCTGGGTTCAAGCAATTCTCATGCCTCAGCCTCCCGAGTAGCTGGGATTACAGGCATATGCCACCACACCACTCCCAGCTAATTTTTTTTTTTTCTTTTAGTAAATTTTACTTTTAATACAGAGTGAAAGAAAATAAAAACTTAATAGGTTAAAACAAGTCAAACACCCATTCTACACAGATAAAAACCTTCACAAAGGTCAACGGAAGTAATCCAGAGCTGAAACTGAATTGTGCAGATTTTCAATGGTCATCAAAGTCATGTAACACAAACAAAAGTCAATTATATTTACACACTCAGCAAGCCCTCTAAGAAACGTGCCCCAAGAAGCATTAACCTTTGTTTTGTGCCATCCTGAAGACTTGCACATTTTATTTTTCAGATAGCTTAACATTTTTAAGAGTGTGCTCTCTACCATGCGGTAATGCTTTGGTACTATTCATATGGGGTCTTGCCTGTCCTAAAGACCTGCCATTTCCCAAAGAGGAGCTTTTGATTCTGCTTTAGAAGTTTTACATAAATTAAAATCTTTATCAAATATTAATATGAAGGGAGGCACAGGATGCAACATATATAGTCAAGTTACCTCTGTATATTTAGAAATTACTTTCTCCTCCAAGGTATTTGCAACAGAAAGCTCAATCTGTCCTGCTTAATAATCAGTAGTACAGGTTTGAATCATCAGAAGCTTGGCAAGACCTTAATATTTCAGAATTATCAACAACTACCTCTAGGGGCAAGTCCATGTTACTGAGTTATGACAAATTTATTATCGTGAGGGAAAACAAGAGTAGCCAGCCATCTTAAAAAATGCCCCAACCACTGCTTCTCAATACAGAAAGACTAAAAACTACATACAGTTTATCATACAACAAATCCCATCTCTGTCCCCTGAAATTCCCCTAGTTTCATTCATTAGAAGGGGATTAAAAGAAAAAAAAAAGACTTAAAGAGCACTTTACAGCAGCATTCAGCTTTCCTATGAAATACTCAGCATCTTAAATATTATGTATAACTCTTTTTTTAGTAAGCTAGACACTGGCTTCAGAGTTTGTGGGACTGGGGGAAATCAACCCATTCAGAACTACTCTAGAAATTGTCTTTTGGCAGAATAGCAGATATCCAAGTTAAAAATGGGAGGGTCATTTGAGACCAGCCTGGCCAACGTGGTGAAACCCCATCTCTACACAAACTAAAAAATTAGCTGGGTCTGGTGGTGGGCACCTATAAACCCAGTTACTTGGGAGGCTGAGGCAGGAGAATCACTTGAACCCGGGAGGCGGAAGTTGTAGTGAGCTAAGATCACGCCACTGCACTCCAGCCTAGGCAACAAGAGCAAGATTCCATCTCAAAAAAAACAAACAAACAAAACAGAGGGTCAGTTTGTTGCTTTGTGGTCTTTTCAAAATTTAGATGTTTTTTTTTTGTTCCCCTTCTACATAAAAACCTCAGTCACCACTCCTGAGTGGAGATGGGCAGGGGCTCTGGCCCCTGCTCCTCTGGCTTCTTGGCAGCTGCTTTCTTATTGCTGTAGCAAGGCTTGAAGAGATGTCTGTCAATGAGGACTTCCCCAAAACGGCCTTTATAGATGATCCCACAACATATCTTCTGTCTTTTCCAGTATGTGAGATCTAAAAAGGAAAAAACTGGTGTTCTATTAGAACCAGAAGCCATCTCTGTATCTGAGCCGTCATCTGACTGGTTACTGTAACAAGGAGATTGAGCTGGGGAGGCACTTGAGGTGGTACTGTGAGCATCAGAATTATGACGTTTAAATTCCTTCTGCAGTTTACTGATCTGGTTGCTTTTTATCCTGTTCCCAGATAGAGTTTTCACTTTCTTTGGTTTCAATGTAGTCTTTAGACTGGGTCCAGCCCTTACATCTACCACATGATTCCAGTTTTTTTTTGATCCTGCTGGCAACTTCTTCCATCTTTTCACAAGCAGGACACAGGCATTGCAGATGTCTCCTGAACGAGTCTCATGCAATCCAAAACAGTTCTGGAAGTCCTTTTCATAGCGTTTACTGTCAGTGAATTGAGAACTGGAGGACTTAGCTCTGCAAATACAGTAGCCCTCTATACTTTGGTACATCTTTGGCTTGTGAAAACCAAACATCTTTTCTTCTGGGCAATAGTCTTCCAAAAGCAGCCGTTCCACACGCAATAACATCCCCGAGGTGCGGAGTGCATGCCAGGCCAGTCCCCCTCAAGCGCTCCCTCCTCCTCAACTGCCTTGTCTAGAAAGATTGTCTCCTGCAGTTCTGCAGTTGCTACCGCTGGCCGAGAAGGTGTAGATTCCGCTTTCCTTTTTGTTTTTTTTGAGACGGAGTCTCGCTCTGTCGCCCAGGCTGGAGTGCAGTGGCACAGTATCGGCTCACCACAAGCTCCGCCTCCCGGGTTCAAGAGATTCTCCCACCTCAGCCTTCCGAGTAGCTGGGATTACAGGCGCCCACCACCACACCCAGCTAATTTTTATATTTTTAGTAGAGATGGGGTTTCACCATCTTGGCCAGGCTGGTCTTGAACTCCTGACCTCATGATCCACCTGCCTCGGCCTCCCAACGTGCTTGGATTACAGGCGTGAGCCACCGTGCCCAGCTAAATTTTGTATTTTTAGTAGAGATGGGGTTTCACCATGTTGGCCAGGCTGTTTTCGAACTTCTGGCCTCTACTGATCCACCAGCCTAGGCCTCCCAAAGTGCTGGTGTGAGCCACCACACTCCGCCAGAGCTGGGCTCTTAGCTGTTATAATGTCTCCAAACAGAGGGAATATACTAGATGATAAACACTAGAGAAGAAACACAGAAACACGTATTAATAATTACATCTCCTTTAACTCCCACAACAGCCCTATGAGATAACTGAGATCAGAAAGGTCCAAGGTCACCCACTCAATGAATCAGTGCTGGTGCCAGAATTTGATCCCAGGTCTCTGATTGCAATGCTCAGCTTCTCCCCACATCTCAAGTCTCCTTAGTAAAAGCACTGCAGAGGAAGGTGTTCCCACTCGCCTCACCACCACAGCAGCACTGAGATACTCATAGCCTTTGCTTCATTTCCCAGGTAACAGTGTAGAGCATGGCTGACTGGAGGTGGTGAGCTGGGTGGAGTCTGTGGCTGAAATTTCTTGGACCTCCCCTTCGGGGTGAGGTCACAGATGCAGGTAGCAGGCTCCAGATTATCACATTACGCTGTGGGCTTCAGCAGCCTTGCCAGCCCAGATTCTGTCTGGGAGTGGATCCCCCAAAAAACCCTTTATCCACTGTCCTCTCACATACATTGTGCTTCTCCTGGTTCTCTACGCTAACGGTGGTGGTTCCATCCCTGACTCTGGCTCACCCTTTGGGTCTATCTCCAAGAGCTCACATTACTAGCAGGTGTTCTCTTTGACTGATGGGCAAGCTCATCAGTTAAGCAGCTCCCAGTCTGTCACCAGCTGCCAGGAAACCTCAAGACTAGAGCCTAACTCCTCAGAGCCTGACAGTAACCTTTTTTTTTTTTTTTGAGATGGCGATCTCAGCTCACTGCAAGCTCCACCTCCTGGCTTCACGCCATTCTCCTGCTTCAGCCTCTGGAGTAGCTGGGACTACAGGCGCCCACCACCACACCCGGCTAATTTTTTGTATTTTTAGTAGAGAAAGGGTTTCACTCTGTCAGCCAGGATGATCTCGATTTCCTGACCTCGTGATCCGCCCACCTCGGCCTCCTGAAGTGCTGGGATTACAGACGTGAGCCACCGCGCCTAGCCAACAGTAACCTTTGATGAGAAATCAATGAAAGGCTTCAGCCCTTGTCTCCATGTTGCCAATAGCCATATTTCTACCAGTGGGTTCCAAGGACAATTTCACAACGCCACAAAGCATCAACACCTTACCTAGTTGGGGGAGAAGAGCATGGAGTAAGGCACTGGGTTGGGCCTCATTTCCGCTGTAGAAGCCAAAGCTATCTTTTTCAACAGCTGGGTCAGACACCAGGCTTGGCCAATCAGATGCTCTCACCCACAACTTTAAACCTCACAGTGACACAAAGAAAAAGGGACAGGTGAAAAATCATTCACTGGGAGAGTCTGGTGATGACATCCCAGACCAGACTGCTTTTCAGTCATAACCTTGGCTGTGTTCCCTGATGTCAGCTTCCCTAGATCTCATTTCAGAGCTGAGTTTTCCAGGCTTCTCATAGATTCTGAGTTACCTGAGATCCTTCCAATAAAGTTCTGTGCTGCTTATGTTAGCCAGTTTCTCCTTTTGCTTGCAGATACAATACCTAACGTGCTGTGGACAGCATCCAGCTCAGAGGGTTCTTGCCTCCAATGTGGGAGTCTTCTCTAAAATCCTGTTGTGATGAGGTTACCCTGAGGGGGCAGGCCTCTTTCCAAAATGGCTTTGGAGTAGAAGCCTGTGAGGAATGGCATTCCTGTGAGTGCTAGGTTACCAATAAGTAGAGAAGTTGAGGTGAACAAATTGTGCATTAAGCTGCCAGTATTGTCATACTTAATAGCATCTGGGAAATGATAAAAATACACACACACTCAGTTGTGAATACATGGAGTGTATCTCTTTAAGAATATATAAGAAAGGCCGGGCGCAGTGGCTCACGCCTGTTAATTCCAGCACTTTACAGCACTTTGGAAGGCCGATGGGCAGATCACAAGGTCAGGAGATTGAGACCATCCTGGCTAATATGGTGAAACCCCATCTCTACTAAAAATACAAAAAATTAGCCAGGCTTGGTGGCGGGCACCTGCAGTCCCAGCTACTCAAGAGGCTGAGGCAGGAGAATGGTGTGAAGCCGGGAGGCGGAGCCTACGGTGAGCTGAGATCACACCACTACACTCCTGCCTGGGTGACAGAGGGAGACTCCGTCTCAAAAAAATATATACAAGAAACAGCGGAGAGCGCCTCTGCAGAGGGTGAGCTCAGCAGTGCGAGAGGGGTTTTCTTTTCTGTACTCTTGAATTTTTACCATGTTTATGAATAGACTAACTTGTTTTAAAATATTATTTGGAACATATGTAATTTTCACAAGTTAAAATAAAAACAGGATGGGCATGGTGGCTCATGCCTGTAATCCCAGCACTCTGGGAGGCTGAGGCGGGCGGATCACTTGAGGCCAGGAGTTCAAGACCAGCCTAACATGGTGAAACCCCATCTCTACAAAAAATTACAAAAGCTAACTGGGTATGGTGGCGTGTGCCTCATACAGCCTCTTGAGGCTGAGGCACAAGAATCACTTGCCTGGGAGGCAGAGGTTGCAGTGAGCTGAGATCACGCCACTGCACTCCAGCCTGGGCAATAGCGTGAGACTCTGTCTCAGAAAAAATAAAATAAAAATAAAAACACATAGACTAGTGTCATCTTTATTTCACTGGTAATCAGATTTTATATCTGAAGCCCTGACAGAAAGAAAATGACTCTCGAGCTTTCCTGTGACCCCTGGCCCTCAGCCTTGGCTCCTTTGGTCTGACCCTCCTACTCTCCTGCAGAGAACATCCAATTACTTTGGGATCACTGATGGGGTGGAGGATGGGAGAGCTGGCAGTGTGATGGGTGGTGGCAGGAGTCCCTGCAGGCAGTATGTACCCCCATCTGCATGTTCAATGCCTCTTCTTGCCCTCTTCTTCCAAACCCTATTTTCAACTGGAAAGGAACAGAGGGAAGTAGTGATAGCCTTGGCTTGAAGAACATTCAGGAGAGCTATAAGTAAGCAAATCTCTCCTCATCAAGCCCCAACTGTGGAAGTAGGAGATGGAGCTGCAGAGAGGTCCAGCCAGGAAAGGCAATAGAGTCCATGACAAGAGCCAAGCCAGTGCCACAATACCTCCTTAAAGGCCCTATCTCCAAATAGTCGTGCTGGAGGTTAGGGCTTCAACATCACAATTTGGGGGGACATAAATCAGGCCATAACAGCAAAAGCCAGATCAGGGAAGACTTCACAAAGGCAAATTTCAACTGAGTTCTACTGGAGTCAGTCACAAGGGTGCAAGCAGTGTAAACAGCCAGGTACAAAAGCACAGAAGAAAAGGCGAGTCCTTGTTTGGCCTTTCCTTCAAGGGTGCGGTAGATGGGCTTGACCTGGATATTTAACTGGAAGCCTTTTGCAGCCCTGAGGGTGGGGCCATGACCACTACTGCAGCAGGATTCTATCTACTTGCACTACTTGCTACTTGTATCTACAGATTACAAGCTAAGATCTCTGGCTGTGTTCAGCACCACCTAAGGCTGAATGGTTGTTCCTACAGGACACTGACAATGTCAGACTGCTTCACCAAGAGCCACAAGGCCTTTAAGAATTACCTCAGAGGTCTTCCCACCTTCTCCAATAGCAGCTAAGTTCAGGGAACCACTAAACTCCCCTACTGAACAGCACTCCTGTGGCTGAGGCAGGAGAATTGCTTGAACCCAGGAGGCAGAGGTTGCAGTAAGCTGAGATTGCACCACTGCACTCCAGCCTAGGCAAGAGTGAGACTCCGTCTTAAAAAAAAAAAAAAAAAAGATATACCAAGTTTTGTTTTTGAGAGAGTCTTACTCTGTCCTCCAAGCTGGAAGATCTTGGCTCACTGCAACCTCTGCCTCCTGAGTTCAAGCACAATGTGTAGTGGCACAATCTCGGCTTGCTGCAACCTCAGCTCACTGCAACCTCAGCCTCACAAGTAGCTGCGATTACAGATGCCCGCCACCACGCCTGGCCGATTTTTATATTTTTAGTAGAGATGGGGTTTCACCATATTGGCCAGGCTGGTCTCAAACTCCTGGATTACAGGCATGAGCCACCACGCCCGGCCAAGACGTACTAAGTTTTAAAAATACAGGCCAGGCGCGGTGGCTCACGCCTGTAATCCCAGCACTTTGGAGGAGGCCAAGACAGATCACGAGGTCAGGATATCGAGACCACCCTGGCTAACACAGTGAAACTCTGTCTTTACTAAAAATACAAAAAAATTAGCCAGGCGTGGTGGCGGGCGCCTGTAGTCCCAGCTACTCCGGAGTCTGAGGCAGGAGAATGGCGTGAACCCGGGAGGCGGAGCTTGTAGTAAGCTGAGCTCATGCCGCTGCACTCCAGCCTGGGTGACAGAACGAGACTCAAAAATAAATAAAAATACTTGCTAGTACTTTTTATTATACTGTCTAGGGAGGCAATTACTTTAAAAATCAAGGTAAATGCCAAGCACAGAGGCTCATACCTGTATTCCCAGCACTTTGGGAGGCCAAGGCAGGCAGATCACTCGAGGTCAAGAGTTTGAAACCAGACTGGGCAACATGGTGAAATCCCATCTCTACTAAAAATATATAAATGAGCCAGAGGTGGTGGCACGTGCATGTAGTCCCAGCTACCTGGGAGGTTGAAGTGGGAGGATGGCTTGAGCTCAGGAGGTAGTT